GTGTTTGGAGAAGGCAGAGAACTTGGATGTGGATGTTACTGAGCATGTAAGTTGTTACAAAGAGAGACTGAGCAGAATGAAGCCGCCACAAGGATTGCTTGCAACAGCTGACAGTTCAAGTCCGGGCTCCTTTCCCAACTCCAGCTCCCTTTTAACATGCACCTTGGTGGGCAGAAAGTGAAGGCTCAAGCACTTGGGACCCTGCCACCTGCATGGAAAATCTGGATTGAATTTTGGACTCCCAAAACCAGGCTTAAAAAAAACAAAGATCTATTTTTATTGGAAAGGCAGATATACAGAGAGGAGGAGAGTCAAAGAGGAAGATCTTTCGTCCAATGGTTCACTCCTCAAGCAGCTGCAACAGTTGGAGCTGAGCCAATCTGAAGCCAGGAGCCAGAAGCTTCCTCCAGATCTCCAACGCTGGTGCAGGATCCCAAAGCTTTGGGCCATCCTCGATTGCTTTCCCAGGCCACAATCAGGGAGCTGGATGGAAAGCGGGGCTGCCAGGATTAGAACCGGCTCCCATAGGAGATCCCGGCATATTCAAGGCCAGGACTACCCTACTATGATGCTGGTCCCCCCAGAACCAGTCTTGCACAGATCCAACTGTTGCAGGCATTTGGGGATGAACTAGCAGATGGGAGATCTCCAACTCTGTCTCTCTCTCACTCTCTCTCTCTCTAGCTCTCTGCTGCTCTCCCCCAGCCCCATGCCTCTACCTTTCAAATACAATTTTTAAAGACTGAAATGTGCTAAAGAAACCAAATGCAAAGAAACCAGTTACAAAACTAATATACAGCACTGTGATGAAGAGCAAAGTGATGTGTTTGAAGTCCAAGATTAATAATACAGCTACATTGAAAAGATTTGACTTCAAATAAGATCACTGATAGCATTGAATCAAGAGAAAAACAGCATAGAAAAACTTAGTGTAGATATAAATACATACTATTTCAGAAAGATGAGGCTCAAAGGTGTTTGCAATACCCTTTGCATTCTTTTTTTGGAAGAGATATCTGACTTTCTGGATTAAAGCATTCCTTCAAGCAATTCTATTTTGTTGTTTTTTTTTTCTTTTTCCCAGCAGAGTTTCTCAATTTTGAAAAGATTTATTGCTACGACTAAACAATTTGTTAGAACCATGTGACTCCTTCATTCATTTCCCAGCAAGAACTTGTAGGAAGTTGTTAAGTTGTAAGCTTCAAAGTATAGCAAGGTCCAGCATAACACCATTGAATGCCAGATTTCCAATTAAAATATTTTACAAATCAAACAAAGCAAGCAAGCTTAGGGAAATTCTTGGAGAGATCCCTGGTGTTAGGGTTTATTTTCGTGGTTACAATTTCGGAATGCTGTGCGTTCTGCTCCTGCATGTGCAACCAAGGCTTTGCTCTCCGCTCCGGAGTTGAGCAGAACTCACCGTTCACTGCCTTTAACCTTCATTTGCCAAGGGACTAAAGCAATAAACACAGAAAACAGAAGCATCTTATTTCATTGAGGTTTGCCAGGAAATCTGATTATTTATATTTGAAAAAAACATCCCCCATGCAAGCGGCAGCCAGGCAGCCAGGACGGAGTGGTCTTCCCTACTCCTGGAGAAGTGGCTGCTCCTCCCTCTGCCTCACAGCCTTCCAGAAAGGTGGGACTGAAACACCTGTGTGTCTCGGGGCCCACCCCACCTCCCAGTTCCAAAACCTAATGAAACTTCTTCTCCAGGCAGAATCCGAACTCAGACCATGTTCCTGTTTTCCAGTTAGTGGACACCGGGTCACCAACAGAAACAACAGTCCTCTAATTCACCTGCTGCTCCGCTTCTTTTTTTTTCTTAGAATCGCTCAGATTTATCCTCCCATGTTTACAGGTTTCTTTTCATCATTAGGCATTTTATTCATTAAGTGCCCAAAACACATTTGTGAAAGAGTAAATATTCATAGTTGCAGTTAAAGGAAAACTTCAGCACTAGGCAAACGTTCAACCAAATGTCCCTGTTTCACCAAGCCTTTCCAGAGTGAGAGTGACATACGGCGGCTTGCCGGCATGGCCAAAGAGACACAGTGAGGAAGGGTACACGACAGTCACCAGAGCCACAGTGGGCAAGCCTGGAAAGGTCTGGGAAAACCCTGTGCACAGCTAAGAAATCAGGACTTTGCCCTGCAGGAAGTGGAAAGCAAAAGCCAACCGAGCCTGCCAGCTGTGTGCTGAGCTACTACAAGGGATCAAACGGAAGGGGGAGGCAAGGAAAGCAAGAAAGCAATGAAAAGGCTGATTCACGTGGTGGCCAGGCAGAATCCAGGGCTACACTCCCACGGTGACACAGTGATGGGCAGCATGAATGGAGGACTGTGTCTGCAACTGGAGATGTATCGGACAGTGCTAAGGGGACCACAGACACATCTAAAGGGATGCTGCCGTGAACTTGGAAAGGCAGCAGAAGCAGAGCTTTTGGTGGGCCAGCAAGAATCCCAATGTCACTATCGGACTTGCTAAGCATGAACTTGACCTGTCTGCGGAGGCTCGGGGTTGGTGTGTTTTGGGGTGCTTAGGCCAGCGCAGCCCTCCAGGCTTAGCAGGTGAGTCTGGAGTTTACCAGTCTGCACAGGGACCTGTAGCACCGCATCAGGTGAGGATGCTGGGCAGGTGTCTGGGGGCAGGGGTAAGGGCGGAGCCAGGCGGTACACACAGCCTTAGAAGAGCTGCCGGTCCGGACTGTGCAATCCAGTGCAGTAACCAACGGACACACATGTCTGAGTCCAATTACAAAGCCATCCCTTGGGTCTCCTTAGCCACAGTGTGTGTACCCAGCAGCCAGTGTGGTCAGTGGCCACTCACTGTGTTGGGCAGCCCTGGCGTAGTTTCCTGCCAGCGACACAGACAATGCCATGGGATCACACAGGTGTATGGGAAGAACAAAGATGCATGGAGAAAGATGTCTCTAGGGCAAGAAGAGACCCTGAGGGGTGGGGGTTGGGAAAAGAGGGCAAGAAGAGACCCTGAAGGGTGGGGGGAGGGAAAGGAGGGCAGGAAGAGACTCTACGGGGTGGGGGAAGGGAGAGCAGGGGAGGGAGAGGAGGGGAGGAAGGGGTAGTGGTGATTAGGAGTACCAGGACAGGAAAGCACCACCCCTGTGCCCAAGAGGACTCAGGGACAGGAAGACTGTGGAGACGTCAGTGAGAGGGATAATCAGGAAAGACACGGGCAGGTGGCTGACCCTGACACTGGTGGAACGGAGCTGGAACCCACTCCAGGGGCGCACCGCAAGTCTGATCCTCTCACACCTGGGAAGAGCTAAGGGGAGCCCCAGGCCCTGGCTCTGGTCCTTGGCCACTCTGCTCTTAGCAAATCATAGCCTAAGGCCACTCCAGAACCAAGCACTCAAAATTCTCTTCTCACATCAGCAATAAAGCTTGACCCAGCAGGGGCTCCGAACCAAGCGAGCCACGGTGGCTGGGGGAACTGGGGACTTAGCGATTCTTCTTGGAGGACAGAGCCGGAGTCCAGCCCGACGCACAAGGTCAGGACAAGGACATGGGTGATGGTTCCATGACGAGGATGCCTTTCCGTGCCACAGAACTGGCCGTTCAAAATGGGGACTAGTATGAATTCAGTCTTAGGCAGATGTGGCCAAACTGTGACTCTGTGATAAAATAAATCCAACCCAAGACCTAGAGAACAAGGAGCGGCTCGAGGAACCTCTCTAGTTTCCCACAAAGGAAACATCAGACGACAAATGCCCAAGCTGAACACACGGTTTACCTGAAGGTGGCGGGACCTGCCCTGCCCTAGCAAGGTGTGAAAACACACGCGTGTGAAGTTGAAACATACAAAGCACATCTTGCAGGTGCTAACATCACTGCTCCCAGTCCTGTCAGCCTCGACAAAGGAAGCAACTTACAGTGTCAAAGGGCAAGCAGAGAACAACAGTGCATGGAGTCAACTGCACAATTAAGGCAATATTTACAGCTGTCCACCCTTAGCCGCGGGTATGTTTTCCATGATCTCATTTACCCGGTCATCCACAGTCCAAAACTACTAAACGGAAAATTTCAGAAACAAGCAGTTTCTTTTATTACAGTATATGGTGGTAAGTGTTCTGTATTATTGGTTACTGAGGTTCATCTCTTTCCATGCCTGCTTTGTGAAATGCGCATTATGGTAGATCCGCATTCACAGGAACAGACACAGCAGATGCAGTGCAGGACTCAGTATTATCTATGGAACATTCTGGAACGTGAAAGGGGCACTTGTGATAACACCCGCTTCCTTACTACTGGCTCTCATGTAGTGGACGCAGTTAGACAAAACCACCCCGAGGCAGCCATGACTGTTGAGGGACAGCGCACGCTCGCTCCGCAATGAGGGAACGGTGAGCTTGCCATGAGTCTCTCTGAAGCCCACACTGACGGCCAGGCCTGCGGCAAGATGCAGCACCCCAAGGAAGCCAACAGCTGCTTTCACGAAACTCTGCCGCTGTACCCAGGAAGCAGAAAATTCCAGGCTAAATGTTAACGCAAGTGATTTGTAATGTGAAATAGCCCAACAAGCCAACAAATGTTGGGTCTAGTTAAGGACCAAACCCCGCGAGGTACACAGTGGCCAATATGCTCGTGCGGATTTGAACGCTGTCTCCCACCTCAGCATCCACGCCGGGAAGCCACTGGCAAACGGGAAGCAAAGGCTGGCCCGCTGGCCCGCTGGCCCGCTGGCCGGAGCATGCTCCGCTTGCTCCCCGAGGCTATTGACCAAACACAGAGAAACATTCATCTTGCAGAGACCAGGTTTTCTTCATTAAAGCTTCTGTTGATGTCATAACGTGACCTCCCCCAACTCCAAAAAAAAAAAAAAATCACCTGGTGACCACGCAGCGGCAAAGCACGCAGCAAAAGTACACACCGGAAGCGGAAACTCGAGAGGAGAGCACACACCGGAAGCGGAAACCCAAGAGAAGGAAGAAAGACGACCCCAGACAGACAGGGACCACAGACGAGACGTGCTATACTTACAACTTTCAGCATGATAGTCTGGCACAAACTGCTCGTCATTGTCAGGGACCTGAGCTGAAGAAGAAAGAAAAATATTCAATAAAAACTTTGCAGGAGAGAAGTGGCCGAGGCACAGAGAATCAACAAAGGAAGACTTTTTCAGGCGGAGATCAGACGTGCGTATGGTAATTTGTCAATGAGCGTCTATTGAAAATGATACTGACAGCACCATTTAGGGCGGGAAACAGAGGGGGCACCCTTGACGTTCAGGAGGAAATACATCTGGGAAGGTGGCAGATGAGGGGCCTTTGAGTTACACCTGCCTGATGGAAATTTAAAAAGACACAAAACAGAAGAGACCCCAGCACTTCTATTTCCTGCTGGGTTTCTTTTTTGCAGTGAGCAAAAGGTACTTTGGTTCAGCTCCTGCCGGCACTTGGGCAGCCCTGCTACACCCCGCACAGGGCGGCTGCAGTGGCCTGTGGCTGTCACACAGCTCCCTTTGTATGTTCAAAAACTTGCGGATACGCTCAGTTCTGCCAGTTCGGCTACCATCATTAAAGATGCTTGTCCAGTGCTTGCCTCGGCAGCGCATACCCTAAAAATGTTTGCCCTGAATTTGGCCAAAGTATGCCAAAAAAAATTCTCAAGTGAGGTCTCCCCTTGGTTCGGATCGTGTATAAAGAGTAATACAGTACAATGATGTCAGCTGCCATAACATAAATAGGAATGCTAAAGCAAAGGCCATCTCTTCATGCGCAGTACTTTCCTGGCAATTATTCAGCATCAACAAAAAAAGATCACCACTGCCTAAGTTTTAATGTCGAATAACTTCCCCTATTTTTAGAAGAGGAAAAATACCAACTAGGAAGGACTCAATGCATTCGGCAGCAATGAAAACACACGTGTACTGTGTTTACTTCTCCAAGGTTGTGCTGGACGCTGAGATAACCCACGCCAAGCTGACACTGTTACCGAAATCATCTCCACGAATACAAACTTGCACACAAACTGCTCAGAATAGAAGTCAGGATGCTTTTAATTTGGTAAAAACGTAATGAATTCTCATTCTAAGTAACTTGAGATAAGATCTGATTAGCTGTTATTACTTTACTAGTATTACAGAACACAGAAACTTTTTTATACCCGGTCGAGCGGTATGAAAACCGATGTCGATTAATTTTTAAAAACAAGCCTATTCGGCGTAGGGAACACCTTATTGAAATAAACAACCGGTTTCCGTTGAAAAGGTTTCGGGCTGCTGACGAGCGGGCTGCAAGAAGAAAGGCTACATGGAATTTCCACGTGCAAAAGAAATAGAACATCCATAAGGCAAAAGTCTCGCCGAGTTATCCCTTCATCCCATTATATTTTTAAATAATGACAACCTCACTTAATATTAAAATATATGCAGTGAGACACTCGGCTGCTTTTCTTGAGCAACCTTCTCCTGCCCAGTAAGTCTGATAACCTTATTCGTGCAAGACCCACTCCATCCCCTGGTAGCAGATGCCAGGCCCCCCTCCAGTGAAGAGTCTCTCCCAGGGCAGGCCTGCGTTGTTTCATCCCCTACCCTGGAAGGGAACGTCTCTGCCTTCTCCTCCACTAACCCTGACCCAAGGGGCACCTGCTCCGACTTCAAGTCCATCCAGGGTGTGGTCACTGGGTCACTTTGGTTTGGATTCCACGTTGCTTATCAGTCTAGCAGTCTCAATGTGGTCCTTCTTCTAGGATGTCATAAACACTCTAAACACCAAGTGATCCCGAAACAGAACACACTTCCTTTTTTCCAGTCCTCTAAGCACGTGCCTTGTCCTTTCAAATCACACACACACACACACACACACACACACACACACACACACAATTTAAATTATTATCACACCCAGGTTAGTATCTTTACTTCTAATGAATTCTGCTAAAAAAAAAAAAAAACGGTCCAAACACAACAGCTACACTTTGTACATCGGCGGCTCTTGGCTATTAACACAGAGCATCTTGGTGTTGTAATGAGCATGGTCTTTCTCAGTCATACAGTGACAACAGAGGGTAAAAGTATTTAAAGTCATTCTTGACATTAAAAAAAAAAAAGACAAGACTTTAAATACATATTGAATAAATCACAGAAATAACAGCAAGTAAACAGAATCAAGTTCTGTATCTTTGCTCCCACTGCATCCGTATCTTTTCATTTTTCCTCTGAACTAACGACTAGATAGACATAACCATGGAGACGCAAAATTACCAACCGCTGCAATTACTGCGCTTTTAAAAAGCCAACATTTGCAAGAATCTAATAAAAATGTAATATCTTTTTACAGGAATACTTAAAAATAGCTGGTGAGTAACAAAAGTACGTTTGTAACTGAACACGCTGGTATGCATGTCCTAAAGGCTAGAATTTTTTCCCCTTAGGATTAAGACAAGGTTGCAACTCCAAGGCAGGTTTCACCTGACACAGCAGCCAAGAGGGCCCTGAGAACTGGGCCTGGGATGCTGGGGTCTGTGCGGAAGAAAAAGGCAGCGACTTCAGAAGCAGACAAATGGGCCCGTCATGCTTGACACACAGAGAAAATAGCTCCGTACGAACAATTCGTAGAATAAGAACTGCTATTTCTGCTCTAACTCCTTAACATACTGAATAAATAGTTCACACTTGTGCCTGAACATATTACAGAATTTTAACAGAAAACATATGAGTCATATTTCACAGAAGCTAATCTGCAGAAACTCCACAGACCCAAGGCAGCAGCAGCAGCGTGCTACTTACATAGACAAAGGCTTAAGCCTACCTCTAATTTCGAGTTGCTGTAAAAGGAGAGCGGTTAACTCGAGACACACGGTTGGAGCTGGGCAAGGAAAATCGGACCCAGGGTTAGCACACTCCTTTCACACATTTCCTTTTTTCTCTTCAACTCAGGAGACTTCTGTAAAGGAGCGAACTACAGCTGCTTTGCAAATGGGTGGCAGTAGGTCCTATCAACTCCAAAGTTGAAAAGTAACAGTGGAGGCCCATCTGAGAACAAAAAAAAAAAAAAAAAAAAAAGCGAGTTCTTCTCTCTACTGCCAGCCACCCTAAACTATGCTTGTAATGATCACCTTCGAAGAATGAAAATGCACCCCACACCGTGTAATTAAGAATGAGGAGCAAGAGAAACAGAAGCCAAATACAGAGCGAGGATGCTCTGGGGTGCACGTGGCGCGGGCGACACTGGGGAGCACCACAGTGGCTCCCTGCGGGGTCAGCCAGGTCTCCCCCAACCCGCATTGCCTACCATTGCTTTTCCTACATGCTTATCCAAAGTTGGCTGGCCGTCTCCCTTCACACCATAGCAATACATCTTTGATGAGCAGAGATTCCTAAAAAAAGATGAACTGTGACCAAAATGTCCCACAATCCCCACATCTCATTTCTTGTTTCAATACCACTCCTTAACTAACAAGGCTCTGGCTTTGCTGGACTCTTAACTCTAACTTTCAAGTGAAAATCCTAAATATTACTTGACAAGAGGGTAAATGTCTTCCCAATTTCCAGGGTTCACTGCAGACATGGCCAAACTGCCCTCATCAGCTGGGTGGCCAAATGCTCTTGTTTTTTCTTTTTTTTCCTTTTAGAGGAAAAGGATGATGGAGAGAACTACGGATACAACCAATGTGGGGTATGAAAGGAGTTAATGTTTAATTGAAACCAGTTCTATCCACTGTAACAATGACCTGGAGCCAAGCAAGGCGGAAGACGTGTGAGTCACTGTTTCTGTGGTGAATGAGACAGCTGATCTCGGCGACTCCTCAAGACAGCAGGCAGGGCTGCAGCTCTGCTCATTCACAAAAAAACAGTCCAGCCAGCATGAGCCATGTGGCCAGACCGCAAGCTTTTCATGTCACACCCTTGCAGGGAGCTCCAGCAAGTACACTGCAACTTGCAACATAAACATACCAAATTTTACTGCTGCCTGAACCCGGGGCTCAGATCCCCTAAGGAATGCATTTAAGCTAAGTGACATATCTAAAAACACACTTATGTTTCAAGCTGTCATACTAATTTCTTACAGAAACTTGAATGAGCAAAAACTAAGGAAGGAAGGGGGAAAGGGAAAAAAAAGAGGAAGAAAGCGAAAAAAAAAAAAAAAAGAAAAACCAAACATTGAAGAAATGCCCTCTCTTCTTTGCCTGTTCTATCCTAGGACCCTAACAGATGCCAGCTGACCTTCACTCCGAAGCACAGGATCAGAAACAAACTTCTCTGAAGAAATTTCAGTTTCACCTTTAATAAAAGTAAAACGACAAGGAAAATCCACCTGTGGTATTCTGTTTAATCCGAAAATGAAGCTTGGAGCCACGGAACAAAAATCACCATAGTACACTAAGCCAGGTTTTATGCCACATCCGCCTTTAACATTAAAATGATCGTGCCGGTCTAAAAGCATTAATTAATGTAGAAGTATAAACACATTTACACAGACATGAAAAGGGGACATTCCCCCTAGGAAAGAAAACACCTCTAATACCTCATAAATACATTCTTTGTCAATGCTCTGGAAAAAAAAAAAAAAAGGAAATAGTTCAGTTTGAGTTGTTTCGAGTTTCCAATCAGCTTCAATTCCCTCCGAAATTGACCTGCAGTGAGTGGAAAACATCAGGGCCCTGCACTGCGGTTCTCACGGCGCGCTTTCCCTAACACTGCACAGGTCTCTCTCTAGGATCAGTTTCCTAATGACCACATTGTGTACAAGTCCAGGTGTTACTAAGAAGTACAGGGAGAAGAACATCTTTCGCGTTATAAACAAAGAGAAAAAGAAACAGTAAAACACAGCAAGCCTTAGCAAGGCTTCATTCACATTTCTTGAAATTCCCTAGAAGAGCTACACTGCTTCTCATTTTAGAAAAACTTTTCCATTTTGTAATTAGACATAAGGACCGGGGGGGGGGGACATGCATGAAAAAAAAAAAAAGATCTTCATGTCTTTCTAATGATTACTCAGAAATAAAATTCACGTACTCTCTCCGCTCTCTTTAAATTAATTCAAAGGAAAGTTCTTTCACATGTTAGGGTATTTCCTGGTCCAACACTGCCACACACACACACACACACACACAGCGAAGGTCTGTTGCTCAATCCTAAACCGTAAGATGAACTTCTATAATATAATGCTTTATTCTCAGTTCCCTTTTTTTTTCTTTTACAAAATAATGTAGCCTGAGAATCTTCACTTCTTACAGACAGCAGCCCACAGGGGATAAAAATCTGGACACGCATCCAGTTTTACATCCCACTGTAAAAACACAGTAGACTGGGAGAACAACAGAAGTTGACTGCACTACGACCAGGGTGGATCAGAGATGACATTCCCTGCAGCCAGTCACAACGGGACCCAGGATTTCAGAAAATCATAGAAAACAATTCCGAATATAAATGTAGCGTCAGACACTGCAGTGAACTGAGCAGAGCCGTGCCATCTCCACCCCTAGGGTCAACTACAGCTTGATGGTTTACAGAAAGCCAAAGAAGGGGGGCAATGCACCTGATCTGCACGCAGTGGCAACTTTGGCATGGCAAGGTTGTTCCTGGAGACAAAAGTTGCAACTGCAGAGACAGAAGAAACCCTGACTACAGGACCACCAAAAGGCCCTGGGTCAATGACCACAGACTTGAGCTCTGGACGGTCCCTGGAAGCCAAACCTTCCCACGCAGGGAAGGCTCTGAGCTGTGTTAGCAGGCATCACTGCGTGGGGCTGCACGAAACTACACACAGGTGTGCCTTTGTCCATAGCCCTGAGGGGGTCCCTGGTCAGATCCCAGCCGCTGAGGCCCCCACTTAGAACAGGTTATAGAGATCATATGTTTCCAGGATGTAGATGGGGCTCATTTCTAAACCCCTTATTTCATGCCTGCCTGTCAGAGGCACTCTAACTCAATACAACTAAGAATCGATAAGGAACTGTACAGTAAAATTACAATACGAAGTAGAGTAGCTCTGGCAAAATTTTAAATAGGTGTGTTCTCTGATTTTGTTTTTTTTTTTTTTTTCTGTAACTGTTGCTGTGGTCAGTGCACACATTAATTTTTTCAGTTTTCTGCAGAATAAGGAGGGTTTTATAAAAGCCCTTTCCATCATGGCATTTGTGCTTGGAGAGTGATATTAATGTAAAGTTAGACTCTTCACAAACACATTGTGGGGAGAAAGCTGAGTGTATTTCCAGGGACTGCACTGAACGGCAGACCCTGGTTCCTTCTCCACGCTCAGTCCTGCCTCACGCGGCCCAGCAGACCCTTTGGAGACACAACACACTTCCCCATGCATCATCATTTACTCACAGCTACTCCATATGTTACATAGCAAGTCTAAATCAGAAAACATTCTCACAGAAAAAAAAAAAGCAAACATGCCAAGCTCTATCATTCCCAAGTATTTAGGGTGTTGATCAATTTCCTGAAAACATGATTATCTTAAGGACTAAACCGCATACGATATCTAGAGCTACTTAACTGTCCCCGTGGCCTTCTGACTCCTCAGAGACCAAAAAGGGTCAGAAAGTCTTAAAATTCATGGTCCTTTCTTGGCCGGAGAAGATAAACATGACGTGAACAGAATCAAGTCCCTCAACTTGGCAATGCTTTAATTTCGGTATGTCCGAAAGGATGTAAATGAACAAGTCCAACTACAAGTAAACTAGGTTAATGTGAGGCTCTCTTAACTAGTGTCATCCAAGACACAGACTAAAGTGCAACTGAAACAACGCAAAATGATAGAATGATGTCTAGCACATCAAGTTCATTCAAGACAGTAAGAAATAAAAACTCTCTCCTCTTTAGAAAGAGGTCTTTTTTCAAATTATCTGAATACTTGGTGCTTACATTAGTACTGGCTGAATTCATGCAAAATATTTTGAAAAACATTTAAGTTATTCTAACAGGCAATCCTACCCGTAGTTTGTAAATAGCAGCCCACCTGGGTATTCCACAGAAGACTCACAATTAATGTCTGAATTTAATTCAACTCCTGAATTCTTTTTCTACGTAAGATCTAAGCTCCTCCAAACACACTGGCCATTTTCTTCAGCTGGGATTTACAGGTAAGTAAATCATCACACATTAGATTCATCTGCAAAGTTTCACAAAATAAACTCGGATAAATCAATTCAAATCACTTATCCGCTCTGTAACAACACAAAACAAGTCAAAAGTGGAAAAAAAAACTGAAACTGATTATAAAATCCTCAGTCTGCCACAGATTCCACATTTTAAAATTCCACAAACAGAGTTGCTACGCACATTTAAAATCTGCCAGCAAGTGCACTCACTGCCTTGGAATCAATGAGATTTCAACATCCTAAAAGAGAGCAAGCTTCCAGAGAACAACCGAGCTATGTATTCGAAATCATCTCGGATGAATGTAATTTCCTCACAGACTTAGCTCTGCAACCCTAAGTTCATACAACCACCTCATGCAAATTTTCCTGAAAAAAGTTGGGTTTGAGTATGTGGTTTATGTTGCAGTAATAAGTGATCCATTTCAATAAGTGGTATTTACAGAGAGAAGCCAAATGACCTTTAAACATAACTAAGACTGTCATTAATACTTACCTTTCATTAATATACAAACACAACCACCCTTTCAAAGAACTAGGAGGAAAGCTACTTAACTTGCAAGATTCACAAAGATTGAAAGAGCTCCTTAGAGAACTAGAATATCAGCAAAACAAAGAAACTTATTTTCATGCTAACAGCAGCTTGCTCCACTGCTTTGCAAGAGCACCTGATAAAACACAGCCATTCGCCCTCAGAGTAGCTAAGGCAACCAGCAGTTTCATTTAAAGAGACCCTCTTTTTCCTTTTCACCGTGCTAATGATGCCTTTCCAACAAGCGCAAGTTTTTCATAGTATGTGAACACAGAAATAATACAATTATACTCAATGTGCAGGTACCTAGAATTTCCGTCTTGCCATTCCCTATGAAATACACAAAACTGTGATTTCACATCGTGCCAAATCCCAAACAAAAATTTCAACTAAATTCCAGGGGCATGAGTTATTTCTGAAGTTGTATAAAGCTTTCCTGAAGCAGTAACTCATTGTTCCCATAAACAAAGTTGCACACAATCAAAGAGGCAATAAACTGTTTACCACAAAATTTTATCAACATATAATCCAATATAAAAGCAATGCCTTATAATAAAAAAAAGTCTCCTTGCTACATTTAAAAAAAAAAAGGCATAAGTGGCAACAAAGGTCAGTTTCAACAAACATCACATGAACAGTAACACAGAGAAAACATTTTTAAAGTCCCCTAATTCCCCCCCAAAAGATTTATCTGAAAGCCCCAGATGTCCTAAGGATCAGATACACACCTAGAGTTCTGTGCTGCGAACACGGTGGGAAAAAGACACCTGTACTTAAATCTTGAAGCATGCCGTCCTGATGAACCCAGAGAAACTAATTTCTGCCATCAGCAAAGACCTCCACCAGATCGCTAAATAATGACATGCGCTGCTCGGAAGGCAGCCGCCAGCCAGCCAGCCAGCCAGCCAGCCAGCGGGTTCCGGCTCTAGGAGGTGTCTCGAGGTACAATCATATAAACCTGATCAATTGCAATTAAAATCTGAACAGAGGCTTCGAACGTGAAGTCTTGGTGCATTAGTTCTTGCCCAAAGCAGATGTGATTGTGAGCTGCAAGCAATTTCTCCTGGTAATTTGTGATGACAGTGGGTAGGGCAGCCTCGGAGTCCCCAAAGACAAACTCATCAGAGGCTGTAATGTATGCATGACACATGAGGTGGCTCTTTTGGAACTCAATTAATTGGGCTCCACATTAACACAGCCAAGTTCAGGACTTTTTTTTTCCCCCCTTCCAGAGTTGCTCTCCCTCTCCCCGCCCCCCCCATCTTCAGCCCCTTCCCCCACACCATAATTTCAAAGCAATTTTTTTTTTCTTTTGGCCTTACCTTCTGCAAGCCACGTTTCCTGTAATTGACTGAGATCTTGAAAGAGTTCTAAAAAAAAAAAAATAAAGTCAAAGACATAAATATCAGATCTGCAAATCTTTGGGTTTACTTGCAAATGCGTGTCATGAAACTGAGGGGACCATTATTTTCATTTGGGGAAAGAGAACGGGATAGAAAAATGGACACAAAATTCACAGCTAGAGCATCTTAAACATCTCGCCTACTTCCGAAGCCTATTGAACAACACTCTCCGAAAGCTTCAACCACGTAAGTAATAGCATCTCTCCCTTTCTTTGCTGTCAAATGGCTTAGGAGCGCAGGGACTGCACACAACTCACTCACACAAACACACACACACACACACACACACACACACACACACACACACACACACACGAGGATTCACACAAGGATGGAGGTGAAGGTGTGTCTAGCCAGCAGACTTTCTCGGTGATGACATGAACAGCAGTAGGGGAGACTGAAATGGCCCTTTATCTGTGCCTTCTGAACCTGCTCTACAAATCGCAGCAGAAAACATTCCCAGGTTCCATGCCCCAGGACCAAGAGGGGTGCCTTGACTTACAAGTTTTGGAGAAGAATTGCCGCATTCACAGGTTTACAAGAGGGAGACAGAGAGCTAGCTCATCGCCTGGCAGTGCAACTGTGAATGCTGTCATAGTGGGGAGGGAGGGAATGAGGCACCCGCAGTAGCAAGAAATGAGTAAGTTTCAGAATCCAGTGCACCTGACTTGCAAGGTGCAAACTGAGCTTGGGTGAGGAAATCCAAGGCTTTGAGTTTCTTACAAATGCCCTCAGACATCTGAAATAGTGCATGATATGTTGACCTCTGACCCAGAGTTCCTTACCAAAAAAAAAAAAAAAGTCTGGAAGCTAATTTGACAAATAGCATTGCAATGGTTAACTGGGGCTTAAGTGTGATCCAGGGAACAATTCAAGGCCTATAAAGACTTCACCGTGTAGGTAACCCAAATCACCCCTGACATTTCTGATAATGGCATGAGGGTTTAGTACAAAGGGGTGGAAAAATCAGACCATAGCTTCTACCTTTAACCTATAGGTACAAAAAAAAAAACTGTGGTGCACACAGCTGCCTTGGTGTCACCAAGCTGGGGATGTTAAAACTGTCACCTCAGTGTGTGGCTTGAGTTGTCTGCCTTCCAGAGGAGGGTATTTAAGCACTGAGAAATGACTCAGAGAAGCCTGTCCCTGGCTCAGTTTCTCTTTCCTTCTTTCCTGGATTTGTGACAGGCCTGTAGAACGCTCCCCCAGTGCAGATCGTCCCACCAGGGAAACTGCTTCCAGGAAAAGTCTGAGTTCAATTCAGTCCTTCCAAAGTTGTTTCATCTCAGACAGCAGCAGGCTGGTTCTTCCAGAAGATGGAGAGTATTAAGTGAAAAAGGAGGAGAAGGCAGCCCCAGAGCAAAGCTCACCTTCCGAATCATGAGCCAGATCTCTGTTAATGAATTTCCTTTTCCTGACATTGGTTGGTTTCTCGTTACAATTTCTCCCACGCTGACTCTACAAAGGGAAAGATAAAATGCTTTAAGGCAGTGTCAGGCTCGGATGTGGCACACTCACGCGGGCACGCATGCACCTCCCAAGTGGGCTGGAGCTTCTCCGGGCAGAAACACGGGGTCCCCATCTGCTCAGTTCCCTGCTGCCCCTCGGCGGGACAGGCCCACTCGGGCAGCGTCCACAGCCAGGCCCCATGCCTCGGGATGCCTCAGCACCCAGCCAACACTGAGCAGCAAAAAACGCTTTGGGTCCATTGGTGGTTTTTGTTTTTCTTGGCTGGGTGAAGGCTACAAGACATTAAACAGCACCCCTGCACCCTGCGCCCCCCCCCCCCAAAGCAAGAGCAAAAACAGGGAATAAATGGGGGAAGATGAGATGAAGGCAAACAAAAACATCTGCGGGGTGGCACATAAAAAGTGGCAGCGCTGGTCTCAACTTCATTCTTTTCCAGGTGGCAGCCAAAACCCACCCCCCACCCCCCAAAAAAAAAAACTTCGGGAGCGCCAGCTGCAGCCAACCCTGTCTCCCTCCCTCTCTCTCTCCTTTCTGGCACTCCACACGACAAAGAAGCAGGAAAAAAAAAAAAAGAAAAAAAGAAAAAAGGTGGTGGTGACAGGAAGGGGTGAAGTGGGGAGGGGGTCTTAAAACGCAGACTGTGCCTTATCCAAGTCACTGAAGGGTAAACTCATGTCCGAGCCCGGGCTCCCGCGAGCACAGCCGCCCCGGCGCGCGCACGAAGCAGATAAAGTCTTCTGCCACCGAGCGCCCGCCCCTCCCGGGCCGAGCCCCGCGCTCCCCTCCCCACCCCGCCCCCCGCCCCGGCCAAGTTTATAAGCAGCCACGGAGGACCCGGTCCCACTTACACTGGTGACCACGTAAGGCACTTGCTGGTCACAGAAGGCGTCCATGCCGCCGCCGCTCGCCAGCCTCAGCGCAGGCGTCTTATCTCTGGAGCATGGGGTGCTGGAGGAGAGATTTCCTGGGGATCCGGGCTCGGTATCCACCTAGAGCGGAGGAGGAGGGGGGGGTCGACTTTTAGGCTAATCATGAATGGAGCGCTTGTATTTGCATACCTAATTACCCTCCCACAGTCCCATTCACAAAAAAAAAAAAAAAAAACCCTCCTCCCTCTCCGTGACGTCCGCCCTTCCACCCGGACCCTCGCCCTCGCTGGTCAGTGGTCACCAAGAAAAAAAAAAAAAAAGGAAGAAAGAAAGAAAAATGCCCCCAGCGGAGGGGACGTGTTTGGTTCACACTTGCGGTACCCGCCCCGGGCAGCTGGAATTCGCAAACGTATGAGGAAAAAAAAAAATAGCAATGGCGACCCATGAGACTTTGCTTTTTTTTTTTTTTTTTCTTTTTTTTGCACCTAACGGGACGAGGGGAGGAGACGCAGGCTGCTCTTCCGCAAGTTTGATTCATTTGTTACGTTGTTGTCGCTGCTGTGGCTGCAACCCACAACCATGCAATTATGTGGGGAAGCACCAAAAAAAAAAAAAAAAAAAAAAAAAGTTGTTGCAAAGACCCACCTGAAGGCCAGGCCAGGCCAGGCGAACTGCTGCCACCAATTCCCTCCAAATGTAATAAATACATGAAGGATGGCCCGGCACTTCCCCCGTGGAAGCCAGCCGGCCCCAAACGCCTCTGACACGGCTCCACTCCGTGGTTTTTCCTACACTTCTCCTCCAGGGGCCTCCAATCCCAAACTGATGGATCGCCGCCTCCCATTGGTTCCGGCGCTCCGGCCCCAGGATCGGATTTCGCGCTGTCAATCAGGCGGCCGGCTGGGCGCACCCCCTCCCCACCCCACCCGGAGGCGGCGGGGTCCACCGGGGCGCGCTCGGAGGCCAGTTCCGAGCCCGGGGACACGCGCGCACACACGCACGCACGCACAGCCCGGCCAGGGTCTTGGTCTGCGTGCTCCGTGCCGGTGCGGTGTGCTATGCGTGCACTCGGTAACGCAGCGGTTGCGGCTCGGGTGTGAGCGCAACCTTGGCAACCCCGGCCCCCAGTCCCCAGTCCCCGCACACGGCTGCCCACGCCGGTCACCAGCTCCTCGGCCACGGGCTGCCCGCCCCAGCCACCACCACCCCATCACCGTCGTAGCCAACTGCCGGCGTGCTTTTTCCATAGACGTGTTCTGAAATGGACATTCGCAGCTCACATGATACATCCGCCACCAGACAAGATAAAGCACGCGGGGGGAGGTCAACCTCCACCCCGGAGCGTGGGAAGCAAGTCTGTCCCAGCGTGAACATTGCGTGCCCGCGTGGGCACAGAGCAGGGGTATGCCTATGCAGTGCCGCGTGGGCACGGGGTGGAACGCGTCTCCTCAATCCCCTCGTGGGCAACCGACATGAACGCCACTCGGTCCCCGCACGGGAACCTCGCAGATACAAGTCTACTCCGTGCCCGCGTGGGCACCGAGCAGGGGCGCATCCATTCTATCCCCGCGTGGGCAACAGGGCAGTGGCACATCTGCTCACTTCCCGCGTGGGCACCGGACAGGAGCGAGTCCGCTACGGTTCTACCCGGGCTCTGGAGAGGCCTTTCACTCTGTGCACGAGTGGGCACGCGGCAAGGACGCATTCAGTGGGGTCTCGCGTGGGCAACGCGGTCAGCGCAGCCCTGCGGCGGTGTGGACACCAGGGCCAGCCCCGTGAACCCCGGGGCCCTCACGCTTCCGGAGCCTTTGGCAGGGCACGCTCTGGGCTCCCACTTCCTCCCCGGCTTTGCAGCAACCTGAGTGGCGCGCGAGTGGGGATAGGTGTGCATGGTCTGGACTTTCAGCAGCCCGAGGGACCCAAGGCCACCTCCCCCGGGCCTGGGGGGCGACAAAGCGCGATTTACGGAGCCACGGCCCACAGCGAGTGAAACGTACCGTGTCCCTCTGTCCTACGCGCAACTAAGCCTGGAGTGGGCGCGCGCCCCGGGGGTACCAGCGTCCCCGCGCGCCTTTTGGGCGGGAACTGCCCTGGAAGCCAGGCCAGGGTCTGCAACGGGAAGGCGCGGGGTGGGTACACCCTGAGCGCAGGGACCGTGGCGGGGCGCCCCGCGGCCCCATGCACCCTGCACCGCTGGGCCTCGTACCGGGGTGTAAGCACCCCGACATCCCAAGACTCCGGAGGCCGAGGCCGACCGGGACTCCAGGACCGGGCGGTGGACTGGACAGGGCTTCTTGCCCAGTCCCTCCTCCCCTGTCCGCGAGCTTCTCCCCACAACCAATCAGAAAGCGTGGGTCCCCAGCCCATTGTTGTTTATGGCTGACCCCGCAGCGCTCAGGCATGGGATTCGCCGCTTCAGGGAGGAAGGCGGAGCTCCCCGCCCCACGCACCCCGCCACCTTTGAGCTCCATTCACAAAAAAATCAGGGCCCTTCCGGGTCACGTGTTGGGGGCGTTGAGGGGCTGGGAGGAGAGGGCGGAGAAAGGGGAAGGACACGACAAAGGCCCAAGTTTCCCAGACCACAAAACTTTCCTTTGATGCCAAGCAACGTCCCTCCAGGTCAGGGCCCGAAACAAACACTGGAAGGAGGGGGGCGGGAAAGGAGTTCGGGGTGGGAGGGAATTAAAAATAAACAGAAAAGAGCCTGGGGCCCTTGGAGCTGCGTCAGAAGGGGGCGGCCAGAAGGAAGTTGGAATTGCAAAGGCAACTCCAGGCAGCCGGCCTGGGCGCCCCCTCCACGCTGCGCTGGTCTCCGGGGGCGCCCACACGGCGCCTTCTGGGTTGCCCTTTGGGGGGCCCATGGCCCCCCACTGCAGCCCAGGGCGGCCTGCCCTGCCTTCTCTCTCTGTGCGGCCACCTGTGGACCCCAGCCTGCCCCTAACCTAGCCTTAATCCACTTAGTCCAAACCAGATGCGGGGCGCACCCAGGCCTGGGGGAGGACCAACCTGAAGGGGAGTCTGGCCTGGGGGTGGCCCAAGGGTGAGAACACTAAACAGCCTGCCCGGAAGGCACTCCATCCTCTAGCCCCTTGTGCCAGCCACCTGCCAGTCTACTGCTGGGGGCGGGGGAAGGGGGCGGGCGGGGCGGAGCATTTCCAGCAAGCCAGGCCATGAATTTTGATATCCAGTTTAATTTTTTCTTTTTTTCCCTGAAATAAGAGCTTCTTGAGAGAATGCAGCCTCACCCCCAATCCCTCAGAAATAAAGTGGTTTTTGTTGTTGTTGTTGTTTCCAATGTGGGAAGTCTTTGACTTGTGTATAAAATCCTTAGATGTTTTGTGGTTCTGTGGCTGTTAAACCGTGATGCCCTGAAGAAGTCGCAGTATTAGAAGATGTCTGTTAAGGTGAGTTTCTTAGGGTAGAATAAGAAGGAACTGTAAAAGCTGAACCAGTAAAGGCTTAGGATAAGTTGAAGTTCCCTCCACAGCACGTTGATAATTACGAGAAGTGGCAACTTAACACAATTTACTGAAAATGTGAAACTGGGAAGGCCTAGTCCAGAGACACACAGCAACATCTAGGAGCTAGCACCAGCTCCCACTGGCGTCCTGGATCCTCTGCTTCTGACCCAGCTCCCTGCTGCGTGGCACGGGAAGCAGCGGAGGATGGCCCAGGTGCTCCGGAGCCCCTGCGCTCTGCTGGGAGACCTGCGAGATGAGCCTGGCTGCCCGCTCCTGGCTTCAGCCTGGCCCAGCTCTGCCTGTTGTAGCGATTTGGAGAATGAACCAGCTGATGGAAAAATCTCATTCTCTCCTCTCTCTCTCCCTCCCCTCCTTTCTTTCTCTCCCTCCCCCTCTCTCGTACAGAAAATTGGCAAAGGAAATGGGTAAGTGGAAGTTACTGCAGAAGAAAGCAGAGTGCTATTGGAATGGTGGGAGAATGTCCTGCTTCCTCTGTAGAGGAGGGGCACCCCAGGACAGAGGAGGGGGACCCCGGGATGGAGGAGGGGACCCCAGGATGGAGGAGGGAACCCCAGGATGGAGGAGGGGACCCCAGGACGGAGGAGGGGAACCCCAGGATGGAGGAGGGAACCCCAGGAGGAGGCCTGGGGAGCAGGAGGCTGATGGCTCCTTATAGCTGTTTTCTCTGTCCAGGCTCAACACCACAGTGACTAGGAAACACTTGTTAACTCCCTGCTGGAGAGGAACTGTACAATAGCTTATAAACACAGAATTAAAAGGTAATTTCAGCTGCATCCCAATTCAGACATTATACCTTGAAAAGATAAATGGTTTTAACCCATCCGGGTGAGAATAAGTTTCTGACATCCCGAGGCTTGGTGGTTAGTATAGGGGAGCGTGTGTGCTGTTGATGGCAGTGGGACTCGAGGTAAGTTTACCATTGGACTGAACCCGAACATATACAGGCTCTGTTCGACCCTGAAATTCGACCCTGAAATATGCCCTGCCAAAAAATAAAAGCAAGTTAATGATACTTAAAGAAGCTTACAAATGTAGTTACAGAGTATCTAAGAATTTGTCTTAGAAATTAAAAAAAAAAAAGAATTGTCTTGATTTTATTTCACAATACAGACAGAGATCCCCCATTCACTAGTTTATTTTTGAACTGTCCCCAACAGCCAGGGCTGGGTCAGGCCGAAGCTAGAGACCTGGGACTCAATCTTGGTCACCCACATGACTGACACTTGCTCCCAGAATGTGCCTTGGCAGGAAGCGGAACCCAAAGCGGAGGGACAGGATTTCAACCAGACATTCAGATACGGGACGCAATGCCCCAAGGGACAGCTCTTTCCCTACTCACTTTCCCTACTCTTTCCCTACTCCGCAGCAAAGGATTTTTTTTTTTTTCTTTTTTCGACAAAGCGCATGTGAAACACGTTCACACTCTGGGTCCAGTTGTGGTTGCTCTGTTCAAACATGTAACCTTGGCTTTTCTCACTTTGAGATGCCATGACCGCTTACGAACATCCGATTCCTGAGTGGCTGCGTGGAGTTTCAGACCAGGTAGGCCTGAAAAGGCATGTGGAAGCGTGTCACGTGTGCTTTGCATGGAGAGATTCGGCTGCAGTTGGTCCCTCGGCATTCTTATTTTCACATTTGTTTATTTTACCGTAGAAACCCTGGCTTGGATGCTACCGGAAGTCCAAAGAGACACCTATAGCATGTTCTGAGGCAGACATGTTTTGCTCCACTCTCACGGTCAATGTTGAAAATCCG